CTAGGGCTTGTTCCTTGCTTCTTTAGTGTCTCTGCAGTCATATCTGCTTTCGAGTTGTTTTTCTCCTTAAATTTCCTATTTCAACCTGCGCAGCAGAAACATGCTTCCTCTTGAATGTTGCTCCGGTGTTTTGAAAGGCACATAGAAAGTGCAGTGGATGAACTGTAAAAACAGGCTAATGGTTGGAAGTGGTGTAGAAGGTGTAGTATCACAGAATCATAGAATTATTAAGGTTGGAAAGGACCTCTAAGATCACCTTAAGTCCAACCATCAGCCCATCCCCACCATGCCCACTGACCACATCCCTCAGTGCCACATCCACACGGTTCTTGAACATCTTTAAGGATGGTGACCCCACCACCTCCCTTGACAGCCTGTGCCACTGCCTCACTGCTCTTTATGAGAAGACTTTTTTCCTAATACACAACCTGAATCTTGTGGCACAACTTAAGGCCATTACCTCTCATTCCAAAGCAGGAGCCAGCAAGGAGCTGAAGAGCAACAATGAAATAAATAGAAACAAGTTACATCATACATGGCTGTAACTTGCATTTATTGGTAAATGGGGAATAACATAATGCTACCTGCATGGGACTGGTGGGATCTGCGGGAGAGCAGTGCTGTTTTGTTTTGAGCTGGCAGCTGCAGGCAAGCAAAGATATCTAAAGGGCATCCAAAATACTGGGGGAATCTTTTTTTGCAGCAATTTTATTTGCTTGTGATGTCTCTCAAAGTCTCCTTTGTGATTTAAGTGGACAAGCTGTGCACAACATCTGAGGTATAAGCTTGACTCTTGAGTGTCAACTTTGGTGTGGGATAAAGGATGTGACTGGCAGGTAAAGCTTTGTTTGAGAGTTAGATTTAAAACCCATGTTGTTACTGTACTTGTCACATGAACAGCTCACCTTCATAATCTGTAAGGGGAAAGTGTCCTTTTTTGTTTCTTTGGTGTTTTTTCCCCCCATTACACTCTAATCATTCCTAAGTAGTTTGCCGAAATCACCACCCAGAGAAGCCATTCCAGAGTCATAAGGCTGGTCAAGGAGGTAGTAGAACTTCTGCAGATTTTGACTTTCTTCTGTGATGCTGAAAACTCATCCAGTCATAACAGTACTATCCCCAGTATGCTTTGTGGACTTTAGTGTACCCTCACATAACATAATTTCTCCTTTGGCCACTCTTTTCCAAATAAATGTTGACCTGCTCCAGCTGTTCTTAAAACTTTGTTTGTTTAATCAATAGGGTAACAAGAGGTTTTTCCTGCCTCAGCTGAAGTATTGAAAAGGCTGAAGCTGGAAGCACTGCCTGTACCTGACACCTACACTCACTTCCAAGTGAGGAAGGTGTTTTTTGTTTCCTTGTATCTGTTCACCATCACCACGTGCAGCTGCCAGCCCCAGGAGAACCATGAGTTTTGAAAAAGCAAATTGCTTATGAAGTTACTGGATTTGCCCATCCTAGATTTTATTTTATTCTCTGGGCATCCAGATGGAAGAAACATGTGTGGTGTACTTAAACTACAAATTGGATTTCATCTTCAGGTTCAGAATTTTGACACATGTAATTTAGCTTGGTGCTAGAGGTTTGTGCCTCAGAGCAGTGCACTTCGAGGTCACAGAAAAAAGCCATTCTCCAGCTACTTGTATTGAGCTGTATTCTGAATTCTCTGAAAGGACACAAAATGGAAAAGCCTTTACTTATTTTTACTGATGTGTTATATTGTCACAAAGTAAATTTCTCTCAAAAGAGGAGGAAAAAAACCAAGCAAACAAAACAAAAAAAAAACACCAAAAAGACCTGGATGTGGTGCAGCCAGATGCCTGCAGCCTGCTCTGCGCAGGTCCCTTCTCATCCCATCTGGAAGTGTATTGGTTGAACAGATACCAGCAAGTCACTTGTAATACCTCATTTCAGGTCTGTGGAGATTAATTTTATCATAAATTTGGAAGCTTGATTTAATTGCGCTAATTTTCTCCTGGGAGCTGATAGATTTCTACGTACAATATTTCCCCTGTATGTAATGAATCATAGTGAGGCTTCCTTTTATTTATACCTGCTAAAAGTCTAGGAAATGAGTTGCAATAGGCATTAAGGAAACATGTCAGAAATTATCTTAGACCATTTGCTGCGTGATCTTCATCCATTTCTAGGTCTATTCTCACATATGATGATAATATTCCATTCTTCTGGAAATAATCGCAGAAACTCCATTTTAATTCTTTCTCCATGGGGAGTCCATTCAAGAGAGAGCTTATTTCAGACATGCAAGACATCTATTGCTCCTCTTCGCATCGCTCTCTTACCATCCATTCTCATTTATTCACTTCTGAGCAAAACGCTATAGATGTGGAAGTCATTATGGCTACCACACTTCTCAGTGCTTGTGATTTTGTCGAGTATAATCATACACATGTCAGAGCTCTGATTTTACTGCCGCTTGAATTTGCTGCTGAATGGAAGCAGGGATTAGATGCCATTCTATGAGAATAAAGTTCATCTGTCACATTCAAGAGCCAGTCACCAGGGTATCTTGTCTTTCATACGGTTTTGGAAAATCACTTTGCCTCCAAGTCTCTGAGTGACTTTTCCTGCTAGGCCTTTATTGCTTATGCAAAAAGCTTGCAATCAGTGTTTATGATTTATATAGAAAGAAAGGCAGTCCACTCAGAAAATTAAGTAACAGAGTTATAACTGTGTTGTTTCTGTCATCTTAATTCCTCCTCCTGAGGACTTTTTAAAAAATGAAGTCTGTTTCTTGGGGAGGAGGGGAGCTTACAAGGAATCATTCTCCACCACCATCTTTCTATCTCCTGGTTTTATCCTGAATTCATTGCATGTTCAGCCTTGAGAGGAGGCTCAGGGACATCTCATCCACGTCCATAAATACCTGAAGGGAAGGTGCAGAGAGCCAGGCTCTTTTCAGCGGTGCCCAATGCCAGAGGTAATGGGCAGAACTGGAATACACAAGCTATTGTCTAAACACCTGGAGTACTTTTGTGCTCTGTGGTTTCTGGGGTACTGGCACAGGCTGCCCAGAGGCTGTGGGCTCTCCTCCTTGGAGATCTCCAGAGGCCAGCTGGCCGTGGGCTTGGGAACCCTGCTCTGGGAGGCCCTGCTGGAGATGGGCTGTGTCCTGCCTACCTCAGCCATGCTATGATTTGTAACTTATGTTGGGAGAATACAGAGACTGGGGAAAGTCTTCAGTAAGCTGCTTGGGCACTTGGACGGTGTGTAGATCTCAGGATTTCAAGCACAAGTTGCAGCTGCCGAGTGGCTGCTTCCACTGATATGGAATGTTGGAGAGCGCATAGCACCAGAGTACTGTGAGCTCAATTAAAGAGGGCTGGAGTTAAGAATGGGGAGCCCCCATCTGTTCAGTGCTCTGAGCTCCTGAGAAGAGGATTTTGATTTTGCTAGCACTGTAATTTGTTAGCTTGGTTACTCCCTTTTATAAAGTACATTCTTTGAAAAATGGTATCGCCAAAATGTGAATTCTTCTTTCAGATATGACAATCATTTCCTCTTAATTAATCTCGATAGTTTGTTCATCTTCACAGAGCAGATCTTCACAGGGAGAAAGAAATGCACGTTTCCTTCAGGAGCAAATTATGAACACACTAAATTGAAAAGCTGCAATGTTCTGTCACATTAACTCGGGTCCTACAACATAGCAATCACACTTGATAAATGGTGACATTAAAGAGAACACGTGCACCGGGTTGTGATGGCAACGACGATATCTGGCTACTCAGTGTTACATGCCTTGCCCTCCTCGTTTATGTCTTTGGGAGTGATGGACATATATGAAAAAAAAAAAAATCAATAGTTTTTCAATCTTTTGTTGCAGTTAACAAAACATGGGGATTGCAATTGGGATGTGTGTTGGGCTATAATATCCCTGCAGCTTTAGTTCTGTGGAAAAAATATGCCGTTGCACTGTGTTAAATATGGAGGTACATAATGCGTTGTAGCATCATTTGAGATACTTTTTTATGTAATAGATATTTATTAATATGAATTATTTGGGGGACGTATAATGCTATATACTCCCTCAGGAGCAGTTTTGGATGGTATCTGCTGTTGCTATACCAAAGTGTTTGTCAGCACTGTGAGCAGGAGGGTGACTGCAAGTGGCAGGGAGAATTACTCTCTTCTGATTTTGACTTGCATCTCCCCATTTCTGAATGGCTGGTATTAGTGTTTTGTATAAGCCAGCTCTCTATGGAGAACAATTGTTACAAGTATTACAAGTTACGGGCATCGTTTTAAAAACTACTGCTGTCACTGAATCTCTTAGTGGGCTGTGTTACTGTAGAGTGTTCAGGTTTCTGACTCAAGCCCAAGCACAGAACATCCTTTTGAGGACTGTCATTCAGTGTACTCTTAAACATTTGCAGTGGATTTTCCCAGTGCTTGTGGTACTGTTTTCCTCTTTTCATTGCAATCAATAGCAATAGCAGCACCACTGCATTGAGGCCACAAGTTCACATTTAGGCTAACGCTGATTCCTTCCATTATCCCTCCCGTGCCTTCTACTCTTCTTTCTCATATATAAGAATCAAATTAAATATATATTTCAAAAGAATGTACTTTAAAAATGTGACACTGTATAAGCAGCTGTTGTGTATGCAGCTGATGTATCAACCTCTTGGTCCCCTGTGCAGCACAAGCCAGTTTGCTGGTTGTGCCACTGGTACAAGCTTACTGGGGCAGGCGTTGTATTTTGTGCCATAGTTTTATGCAGCAGCTAAGACAGAACGGCTCTGGTTCATTACTCTGCCTCCTACAGTGCAAGCAAATTATAATAGTTTAAACACACTGTGGTTTGTTTTCAGGCATCTCTGGCAGAGAGGGTATGCAGTGTGATTTGGCAGTTCCTCGTGTGGTGAAGCGGAGCTGAGCTGACCGATATGATGAAGCTGCCGCTGAGGAGGAGGCTACAGTCCTCAAAATTACTCATGTTTCAATTTCTGTTTCCTTTCTCTACTTTTTTTTCACAGAGTTAAATGTAAAAGAATCTGATGTAAGAGTGTGTGATGAATCGTCATGTAAATACGGGGGAGTGTGTAAGGAGGAGGGCGATGGCCTGAAATGTGCCTGTCAGTTCCAGGTAAGGAGTGCTCACTTTTCCATTTGCCTTTTGTGTCAGACTCTGGAAAATCCAGAGGCTACTTGATTATTTTTCTTCCCATACTTCTTGCCTGGGGAGATGGTGAGCTTGGCACCATGTCTGTAGCTCAGTCGGCTAATCAACTCAGAGCTGGATTATAGGTAGGGGGTGCCTCCAGTCATACTCTTCAAATTTCATTTACTCCTTTTGGTAGTCACAGGCCTTTAATACTCGCGGCTGAAAATAATAACAGCAACAGCAATAATAAGAATTAAATTAAATTGTGTCCAAACAGGAAAAACAGCAAAGGTATGTAAATGTACTCTGACACTGAGTGGGCAGTGAAAATGAGATAGTAACAGGATCACCAGCAGTGGTCATAAAGTTTATTGAATGAAAATGAGCTTATTGAGTGAATTATTCCCACTCAGGAAAACAAAAAAGTGGTGAGAATTGATTTTTAAAAAAACATGAACTTTAAAAAGTAGTGAATAAGAAGTTCAATTTGCTCCATTGATTTTTGTGCCTGTAGTTTACACTTTTTGTGACTATCATGGCAATCCTACCCTGAACATTTTTGAGAAAAGAAAATAATCATAGAATGAATCATAGAATAACAGAATGGTTTGGGTTGGAAGGGACCTCAAAGCCCACCCATCCCCACCCCATGCCGTGGGCAGGGCTGCCCCTCACCAGCTCAGCTGCCTAGGGACCCATCCAACCTGGCCTTGAGCCCCTCCAGGATGGGGCACCACAGCTTCTCTGGGCAGCTGTGCCAGAGCCTCATCACCTTTTGAGTGAAAAATTTCCCCATGATATCTAATCTAGATTTTCTCTATTTAGTTTAAAACCATTCTCACTTGTCCTGTCACTATCAGACCGCATAAAGAGTTGGGTCTCACTCCTGTTTATACGCTCCTTTTAAGTACTGGAAGGCCACAGTGAGGTCTGTCTGGAATCTTCTCCAAGCTGAACAAGCCCAGCTCTTCTTAGGAGAAATGCTCTAGCCCTCTGATCATGTTCATGAGATACTTTGAATTCATAATTTATACCCAGGACAAAAGTATCAAATATTGAGACTCCTGGTAAAACTACAAGAGTTAGCAGTGTTACCAACCAGCTCTAGAGTGGGCTATCATTCAGTGCTTTGAAAATAATTTTGTGTTCTGTTTCCAATAAATAATAAATCAAGGGGAACCAGAATAGCAACAGTGTTTGTGTGATCTTACACCGGTTTTGGATCCTGGTCTTTCAGAGCTGGCTTTTGATGTAGTGTCATCAGTTGGGTACCTACACTGAGGGCATCCTACAGCTTACATCCCCTAGAAAAAAAATGAGATCTTATTGCCTTTTAAAGTGAGAAAAAAATCTTAGGAGAAGAATTTTATTCATCAGCCTTCATTCTTGCTGTAACTGTTATTTATGAAGAACAATAAAATCAAAACCCAATAATGGTTTTAAAAATGGAAAGAAATTCAACCCTAGGCTAAGCAAAGGTTTCATTTATTTTCTGTAGGTGGTAAATTTTATAACCTCCCAATATTCAGGTCAGGAGGGCTAAAATAAGTAACTGTCTCATGTGATAAGCTGATAGTTTTTCTTCAGGAGCTCATTTTTAAAGCCAATGCTATTTTAAAGCTAATTATAAGTTTACTTGTACTTCTTGAAAAATTTATCCTATATTTAAGGAAAAAAGTCTAATCATGAGGAGAAAGTGTCATATTTTTCAGGCATATCAGGTTGAATTCTTTGTTTAAATTTCAACCTTGGTTATTCAGCAGAAGCTAGGTCCACCAAAATAACCCAGGCAATGAATACTCAGCCTAAATTGCTGGGTTCTCTGTGTTCAAATCTGTATGAGGACCAGCTAATCTTATTGCTGATAGCACAAAACTGCGCAGAGGAGTTAAAGAAATTTGTGTACAATGCTTCAACTAAACCAACACTGGAAGGAAGAAGCAGGGATCTAATCCTGCTCTCAGAATCACAGAATCACCAAGGTTGGAAAAGTCCTCCAAGATTATCCAGTCCAACCATCCACCTACCACCAATATTTCCCTGCTAAACCTTGTCCCTCATTACCACATCTAAATGTTTCCTGAACATCTCAAGAGACAATGACTCTTCCACCTCTCTGGGCAGCCCATTCCAGAGCTTGACCACTCTTCAGGAGAAGAAATCTTTCCTAATATCCAACCTCCACTGGTGCAACTTGGGGCCGTTCTCTCTAGTCCTATTGCTAGTTACACTTGAGAAGAGGCCAACCCCAAAATCCTATGGAGATCAGTAGGACCTTGGCAGCTGTGTACTTCTGAAGACTTCAAACTATACTTTCAGAGTATTTGGTGATTGCTGTAGAACATGGGTTTTTTTTTCCCCTTTTGCCACATGATGAAATCAGGAGCTACAGGGTGTAAATGCAGAGGTAACCCTGAACAGAATTTCCTGTTCCCCACAACTCAAGACAGAGCATTTGGCTAAACTGGCCACTGGTCTGATTGACGTTTCTGTCCTTCCTCAAACTGCAGTTTTCAGGAAAATTGACTTTAGCAAGAGAGATGCCTAATTAAAAGTCTCATGTCCATTGCTGGTCAGGTGAGGGTTCTCCTGTTGGAGGGCAGGACTGTCACTGGCTGTGGGCTGCAGGCTTTGGCTCCCCTGGCTGCCTGAGTGAAGGCTGTTTTAGAGAAGAATTACACTTAGACTATTTTTAAGGCAAAGGCTGGTAAAGACTGTCCATTGTATTCAGGAAAATGCATAGAGACTTCTGTTTCTTTTCCCTTTTCCTTACTCTTTCTTCCTCCTCATGTATGGCCATTCCTGGCCTGGCAGCATTTATTAACTATTTGGTCTTTCAAAACTTTTAAATATCAATGAGTCATAGCTTTTCCTCCTAGGATCCCCTTTGGAAACAACTTGCTGCCAAATTTCAGTGTTGTCATTGAAACACATATCGTGGCATGGCAGCATGAACACTGCAGGCCGTAACCTCTCTGAACACCTTGCGGGCTTTCTCTATCTCACCAAGTCACCTACTGTAAAGTGAGATACTGGAACTTGACTCTCCAGCAACAAATGTACAGATTAGCCTGCAAGAGAGGTGCTGGAGGATGCCGTTGTGCTTTGTTTGCACTGACCTTAGTGATATCCTGACTTTCAGCAGGCCTAGTCAAAAAAAGGTTAACTCCTTTTTTATTATAACTGAGGTGGGAGAGAACACATTTACCAAACTTCTGAAAAGGTCTCTTGCTGCAGTTTGTATGACATTTTGCAAAGCCTGAATTAAAAAATCAACACCTGGCAGTTGTGTTCTGCATCAGAGATGGTGCAGTGTTCTTTTTAGATCCCAATAAGAATGGTTCAACCACAAATGGCTTAATAGGGTAACTGCTTTAATAAGACAGAATAAGGAATATTGATAGCAAGTAAATCTTGCATCTTAGCATCTTAGAATTCACTAAAGAATTACCAACCTATTAAAAAAGATATCACTTTATCTCTTGTTTTCTATCCTCAGGATAGAAATCTGAATGCTTAAAATATGGCACAGTAACTTTACCATTAATAGTATCTCTAAGCTGCTGTCCCTTTGGAGCAGTTTAGCTTAACTAACATTGTTATTTCTGTGTGTACTCTCTGTCACTGGCTGAACTTTCTCAGTTTGATAATACACTTCACATGTTTAAGAAATTTGGCAGCTAGTCTATGTCTTGGTTCATTTTTTCTTGGTGCTTTTTGTTTGTTTGTTTTTTTTGCCTGGAAGTTCTAAAGATGCAGAAGATGTCTAGAACTGTAGTTACCACTGAAGCCCCAAATGGGCAATGTGATTTCTTCCAAACAGCGAGGTGGGGTTTGAATACTCAGTTCAGCAGGGAGTATGTAGCACTCAGGCACTGGCAGACTAGCTGTTTTAGTCTGTTTCTCTGCATTTCTGTACACGTTATACATACAAGAGATATATAATCCATTTTTCTTAGAATGAAAGAAAATAGCAAAAAACAGGCTGCTCCTGCCAAAGCCTTTCCAAATGATCAATTTTCCTTTCTTTTTTTCTTCTTATAAATTGTACCGATGCTTTAGACATTGCACTCAAAATTTGGCAGTACAGCTATACAAAAGCATTATTATAGTTGTTGACCATGCATAACACTCATGATACTCATGAATTTAATGGTGATTGTCTTCCATTTCCCTTGAAACATTGTTCTTTGCTCAAAAAGATCAACAGAGTTCCCTTTGAGTCCCATGCCTTTATCTTTCAAATGATTGTAGATGTTTGTCATATTCCCTTTAGACATTTCTGAGATCCAGAGTTATTTAGTTATTTTAATCTTTCCTGCTGAATTTCTATGTTCAGTCCTTATGGAGATGGACTATTATTTCAGTGATCTGAAAGGAGTATATACAGTGAAATAATTTTCCTTCAGTGATAAGAATTATAATTTGCTGCTGGCAACTTTATATTTACACATCTCTCTTCCTATACATTAACATGCAATTGAGATGATCCATGTGCTTTTGTATGACTGAGTTACTTTGTAAATTCTTTTTCAGTGTCACACAAACTATATTCCTGTTTGTGGATCAAATGGAGACACTTACCAAAATGAATGCTTCCTCAGGAGAGCTGCTTGCAAGCATCAGAAAGAGATAACAATGGTATCAAGGGGACCTTGTTACTCTGGTATGTAAAACATTCTTTGTCACCAATGAATGATGGTATATGATCAGCTCTTTTGTTTTTCCCATAAATCTAGAGATTTTCATTTTCATGCTTTTTGTTGAGTGAAATTACATGCAAACCACAAGTCCTCTTTAACAATGAAATGTAGAGAAGAAAGCTGATATACTTTCTGATATCCTAACAGGTTAATAAATGAACACTGAAACTAGAAGTACTTTATCTAGAAAATACTGTGTGAATGCTTCTGATGTATGTATCAGGGAACCCCGATATTCATTCAAAAGGCTCACAGTGAAATTGAACAGATTCTAGACTATTCATGTCTTTAGGATGTACATTTGTTGGATGTACAAGATTAGTGTGACATCCAAAAGCAGATTCTGATCATCCTAACCTCCACTGTACTTGCAGCCAAACCATCACCTTTACTAATTGCACATTGGTCATGACCTTGAAGATATGCTTAACTCTTACAAAATCACTGTACCTCACATTTCTAGTGGGCTGGTGTTTCCACACATGTAAAACAGGTTTTCCAGCACTTAAAATACACAGGACAAGTTTTCACTGTCTCTGTCTTGAATGCTGCAACATGCTGTTGGACATAGAAGCTTTAGGTACCAGAGGTCTTCTGAATGCCTGGTAAGATTTCAAAGCTGGTGAGGTCAAACAGATGCCTGGCTGTCCAGAATTAAACTGTATGGCTTAGCAGCATCAACAGCTGCATACTTTCATACATATACGACACAGAAAGAAACAAAAGCTTGTGGGACATCTCTCACCTTATTAGTAGTGACTAGCTTACATCTACGTGGTAGCACAAGGTGTGGCTATGGATCAGGTGCATACTCCTGCCTAGCTTTGCACTGGCAATTATAGATACCAATGACTATTTAGAGGCAGCAGCCTGGAACTTGCTGGTATCTGCAACATCTGTCTGGAAACTAGGGGAGATATTTGGGCAGTTTACTTAGGCCAAGTTCATTGCTACTGTTCTATTGCTGGTCTCAGAGATGGCTTGTTTAAATGCAGGGTGGCTGTGTTTTCATAGGCTGCTCTACTGCCTTCATCTGCAGCACAGCGCTATACTGAGATGTGATTTCATTTACTAAGGTCCAAAATGATGTATAGCATCTTGTGCCTGGCTGAGCTGCAGATGATTCTTCCAGCAGACCACAGGAAACTAATGGAATGTTACCTTCTTTCTCAATCTGCCACCTGTAAATTATCTCCAGAAGACATAGAATAGCAAAAAAAGGATCCATTAGCATTTTGGAGCATTCATGTATTCCATTAACAACATCCGAGAAGTATGCGGATTTCGTTTTTTTTATTTTATATGCACTCTGCTCTACTTACTAAGAAAGATATTTTGAAATGAAAAATTTGTTCTTCTCAGCTTCAGGTTGCTGGCAGCTAATTACAACATGGCTCTGCTAATCTGAGATATTTTTTTTTTAGCCTTTCTCTCCTTTTTTCTTATGTCCCACCATAAGCCCAGGAAATGCAGTGCAATTTTTAGCACTTAGCGTAATACATCAAGATGTGCTGAGACACAATTGAGCGGAAAGTACTGAAAACATTTCTGAAACGAGGGATGCCATTTGGGTTTTGTACTGCACTTACAGTGGCCCAGTCACTGCAGCTCTACCAGCTCCCAGAGTGTCTGGTACACTCTGATTGATCTGAGAAAATGGGATCATAAAAGCCATCCTCTGGAACCAGCCTATTCCCTGCTGGTGATAATAGGTCATTGTGGAGTCAATGTATTTATACTCTTGATCTGTAGCACATCTCTCTCCCTCTCTCTCTCTCTCTCTCTATATATATGTATATATATATATTAGGATAAAATGCCTGAAAGGAAAAATCCTTTATAGGTTCACATTATTTTTCACATAGTGCCTTGGAATTTGCTGTGAAAATCCTTCTGTTTGGGGATGTCTTTGGGAGCCAAGCAGAGACTCACTGTTTTTCTATCAGAATCTGCTTTTCAAAGCAAAGGCTTGCTTTATCCTGGAGGGATGCACACAAGACAACAGCAAGGAATTCCCCCAGTGGCTATGTAAGAGCTATTTCATTTTAAGTACGTGAAAGCTCTGAAGCTCATACAAGAATGAAAATCTTCCCGTTTGCTGGGGTCTGCTGCCTTCTGAGGATACAGCACTGGAACACAGTACACAGAATGATTTAATCAGATGTATTTCTTGACAGGTAACACTGTGAATAATTTTTCACAGTCATGGGTGATTTAACAGCTTATTTATATATTTATTTCCTTTGTCTAAGAGCCATCAGAGTGGCAAGATCCTAAAATAAGCACCGTTAAAAAAAGAAAGGAAATCATAGGTGCGTTAGGAGTGAATAAAATGCAGGTTTTGATGTTAAAATGACATTTTAGAGAATTATAAGAGAATGTATGACTGAAGCTTTGGGACTGCATATGGAGGTCTCAACATCTGAAAAACCCATTTTTCTATGTAGGGATGGTTGATTTTGTTTGTTTGGTTGGTTGGTTTGGTTTTTTTTTGCCAAATCTGGTTTTACAAAGATGTTTATATACCTAAACACTCCTGGCAAAAGCTATGATGAGGGTCCATGGGTTTTAGCCAATACGTGCAGTCTCACATTGCAGAATACAGCGATACTGGAAAAATGAGTGAAATGCAGCTTTAGTGCTCTCTTTTCTTAATACCTAAATATATCCTAAAGCAGCCTTAAGCTAGCTAAAAGTCAAGCAAATTAACCTGCATTCATAAAGAAGGCATTGTCCAGTTGGAGACTAGGTGGAGAAGTAATGTAATGTAAGAGGCTTGACAAGGGTACTTCTTGGTGTCATTTCCCACTTTTCCTTGTGCTTTGTTGGCCTTCTCCTAGCAACAGCTGGATGGCTGATTGTGGGATTGTGTTGTGAACAAGAACAGAGCACAAGCCCAGCTTTTTCCTTATTGTTTTCCAGAGAAGCTGTGGTGCCCCATCCCTGAAGGTGCTCAAGGCATGGATGGGGCCCTGGGCAGCTGAGCTGGTGATTCTATCATTATTTATTTCTCTCTGATCAGTTTCCCATCTGCAGTGCAGCCCACAGATTTATGCAGGGATGGGAGCACTGAGCATGCGGAAGTGGCAAGGCCTATGCCAGGACTGCTGCTATCTCAAAGCATCAGCCATCTAGCTGCTGTTGCGAGGTCTTCAGCAGCTCATTGGGGGTGGTGTTACACTGACACTGGTTATGCTACCTGAAGTTCCTCTACAAGGGGTTATCCCAAACTGGCCTGCTAGAATGGGGTTAAGAAGCCAGGGAGAGATTCAGTCAGGGTGCTCACGCCCAAAGAAGGACCATCACTTAGACCCTTGATTTCTTCTGTCTCCACCTGTCAGTGAATTTATTGCTTGGTTTAAAATAAATTATTTAGTGAATACAAAATACTCCTGTATGACTTATTCCCAACAATGTGTGTTCCTATTAGCCCATACACAAAGCCAGCATTTTGACTGCTGTCAATTTTACACTATATGCACATGAAAATGAAACCACACGACACAGTCCTTGACATACCACATTTACAGGGTATACATACAGCATACTGTATGGTTTGGAAGGCACAGTCAATTGCTTTCTGTGTTGAGATTTCTAAAGTTAAAAACTAAGCTATTTGCAAGATATTATGGCTCTGTTAGATTTAAGGAGTGATACTCTTAGAAGTGGCTTAAACTTCACGTTCTTCAGTGTGAAGAAGTAATCAAACTCTTACCCTGAATTTAATTCATCTATTTATTGGTGAGCAGCTTAATATATTAGATGTACACATTGTCCTGAAAAGAAATATAATAAGTTTAGTTTAATCCTTTTGAGGAAGATGTGGAAGAAGTTCAGGACAGCTCACTTCTAGATTCAGAAAATGGGAAAATAACTGTTGATGTTTTTACAATAAAGCTGTAACAAACCTGAAAACCTGCTATAAAAACATGCGTGCATTTTGCCAGCTGACTGAGACAGTCCTAGCTTCAGTGCCATGCAGGAATTTCCTGTCCAGCCTTCAAGGAGAGCTGGTGATAGCACAGCATCACCATCTGTCATTGCAAAGGAAATGGTTTGCAAGTGAAGAACAAAGCTTACACAAACCATGTCAACACATTCCAGAATTTAATATTCTGAACTTCTTTTGCATGCAATAATTTATCAGGAATGGCTACCAGAATCAAATGATAGCAAATGCTTTTCCCCAGAAGACATCAAGATAAACCAGCATTGCCTATGTGCAGCCTGGCAAGGCATAGATTAACAGCTTATCTCCAGCTGTGTGTGTGGGGGGGGAGAAGGGGGAGGAGTGGGAAGGGGGGGGCGGACGACCTTGCAGCTGCTGGCAATTAGACTTGTCAGCATTCCTTCCCAAATGCTGCTGATCTGAAAACCAGGGGTAATTGCTAGCAGAACCCCTGTTCCTGGGGATAAGAGCCCTGTGGGAGCAGGTCTGAGCTGATGGGTGTGTGGGGTGCCTGAATTTTCACCCAGCTTGGCAAATGTCCCTGTGTGTTTGGCCAGCAGCAGGTCCTGGGGGTGGCACTGCATTGGGTTTCACTCTAGTTGGCAGCTTAAAGTAGGCTATGATGGTTTGAGAAGTCTTCTGAAATGCTGGCCTTTGGATCACAGCCTGGGGACTTAACTGATCTGCTGCTGCTTTGCTTTGGGTGGGGATGCGCTTATAATAAGTTCTTGATTTCACCTGCTCTTCACCCAGAAGCACTCTTGTGTAACCAGTGTTAAACTGCAGAAAGTTTGGCCTGTCCCTCCTGAACTGCTTGTCACTCAGCTCTGTCTTGGCCTGGAAAGCCAGACTGCATGCTGCTAATGGGACTGTGGTAGAAAGAGCAGTTGCCCTTTCACTCTTTCATTTTGGCTTAATAGGATGAGTAATTGACAGCAATTGAATAAAATAGTTGACGTTATCTGGGATTTGTGGAATGAAGTTCTGGGGATGCTGGTGTCAAAAGACTAAGATCTGCTTAGTGCAAGGAAGTGGCACATGCTGTTTTTGTATTAAAAAAAACCCAACACATGCCAGCCACCTAACACCCAGCTATATCCCAAAAGCTTTAGGAGAAAATCCAGGACTTGGGTATAATAACTCCTGAGTGCCAAAGTTCAGATGCTGGAAATCTCTTCTCAACAGTCAGCTAATCCTTGCAGCACCCAAATTCCACAAATACATCAGATTTTTCTTTTTTCTTTTTTTTCCTGGAAAATGGCAGAGTTTTACCTCTGATGTAGGTATTTAGTTCTGCCCATGACACGATAGCCACTGACCTGTTTCTTACACAGACCTTAACAAGGTGCCATCTTTTGGCACTTCTTTGCATACTCCTATGCAAGGAGGATTTGGTGAATTTGCTCTGAAGGCACTGCTGGGCCATGTGGTTCACTAGAAGGGTCTGCTTGTTCTAAAGCTGTCAGCAGATCATTGGTGCTGCTGTTTGGAGCATGTGCCAAAACCAAGGGGGAAGCCAGTTCAATTTCCATGGTAATTGGAGTTAAAAGCTGGTCCCACTGGGAATCTCTCTCTAATTACTGAACTGAGGATGGTGGGATGGTGCTTCTGTCCAGCTTTCTTGCTTGAGTGTTCTTCCTGGCAGGTCCTGCAGCATGGATACTGTCTTTCAAAATTCTGCATTGGTTGAGGGCCTGAAAAGAGCAAGGCTGCCTATCTGAGTAAGCTTGTAGAAAATGCTACTTTTAAAACCAGCAGCTGTTTGGGAGAACCTAGCCAAGGCTCAGGAATACACAGGAACACCAGTTTGGTATAGCATGCTGGACACAGGCATGCTTACATAGCACCCAGCTCATGGAGAAGCACTCAAAAATGATGCCAAATGTTATACAGGATACCACTTTTTAAAATTTTAATGATACCTTGAGAACTGTAAAGCCAGCAAGTAAAGAATGTATCCATTCCTTTCCTAGGATGCTCTTCACAGAGTTGCCTGCAGAACTCCCGCAGGTCAGCCCAACGATGCTGAGCATCACATCTATCATTTACGTGGCTCTCGTAGCTCCTTGTCTTGGGCTGGGTGTGTGCTGGGGAGTTAGGGCCAACAATGTAAGCGTGGAGCAACTCAGGTTCCTCTGAGGCATTTTAGCCTTTGGATTTTGTAAGAATTGCACACTGAGCTTTCTCATGTTTGTAGGTCAGCATCCCCTCCCCTAAAACAGCTCAGGACACAATTTCACCACTTCAAAGAAGCATATGCACTTACATTATATAAGTAAATTACACTCCTTCAAGTTTCTTAATGAAGCAATAACACATCCTAAAGCATTTTTTTCAGCAATTCAACACTTACATTTTATACAGGATTGTCTGCTTTGTCAGTAAATTGGGTCACTACGGGTGGAACAGGAGTCCTTCTGTTTTTGCATTTATTTCTGTAAGGTACTAAGCACAGTCTGTTAGGCACAGAGTAGTGGTAGAGGAGGAAAGAAAGGAGAATTTAGTCTAGGGAAAAGAAAAGTCTCTCTTGCTGATATTCTGTGTGACAGGAGATTATTTTTAATGTGCAAAGTGACCCAGTAACGTGGAATTTCTCACTTTCCTCCACGCATTAGAGGGAATTATTCTTAGAAAGATAGCTGCTTAAAGAAGAGGTGGGGGAGGAGGAACTGAACAAATGGAGGTTTGGCTCTTCCTCTGATGTGAGCAATGAGCTCGTAGGTGGGAGTACAAACCCCCCTTCTCTTTTTGTTCTCCTTGTTCTTTTGGATTTGTGGGAGTAGTTTCAGCTGCCTCCTCTGCCATCAGACTGGGCATGAAAGGAGGGGTGTGGGATGTGCGCTGCGTGTGCTCTGCAGCTCTCCTCATCTTCCAGAAGGCTAAGTTAACCAGAGAGAGAAGCAATTTGCTGGCAGCGATTGCCATCCCATTTCACCTCCCTTAAGCAAAGAAAGACCAAGGGAGATCTGTGACTCCAAAGGGCTTGTCTTCACAGCAGCACCAGCTGAGGACAGTGGGATGCACATCCCTGTGCCCTCACCACAGTGCTCTGAAGAGGAGTGAGTTGGCCCGGGGTGGTGATGAGGTACTCAAACTGTTAATGCAGAGGGGATGCAGCTACGCAAAGTCACTCATCTGATGCTAATCCAGTCAGTCTAATGCCAATTAAATAATTATGCTGTTAGAGCATCCTTACACAAAGTGATTAGCTCACTTGAAAAGAGCTATTTAATAGATAGATGACCTAAACCAACTTTACCTTGAGGATCAGTTGTTTCTGCAGCCAAGTGGTTTATGTATTACTCCTTCATGTGCTATTCCCAGGGCTAGAGGGCTGAAGGTAAACCTACTTTCCTTAGTAAACAGATTTAAAAAAAATCAGGCTGCATGCTCTTCATCTGTTTTAGGTTTAACAACTCTGAAGCTATCACAGTTGAAAAAAAGGCTAAGAAAGCTGCTCAATACCAAGCATTGCTGCTCTTTGAATAAAAACTGTCCTGACAAAATAGGCCATGACAAACCCTATGAGAGGATGCCAGCCTTTATGCAAGATGTTTGTTTTTACAGCTGGCTCATGAAATGTAACACCTGCACAATGTTTTACAGTGACAAGTTGCTAACAAACAGCTGCTCCTGGAGCAATATTTTCATTTGCTTTCTTTTTTTTCTTTTTCCTCTCCCCTTCTGTTTCCTTTTCAGATAACGGCTCTGGGTCAGGAGAAGGAGGTGAGTACCAAACCCCAGTTACATGTGCTCTTGGGCTTTCTTTTTTAGTATATGTGTATCTGTGTCTGCATTATGTGAGGTGCTGCTGCGCCTCAGGAATTAAGGAAAAGGTATAACAACTAAAAAACAAGCTTGCATGCTGAGTTCTGAGCCTGAGCCTCTCAGAACAGTATTTCTGCAGAAATATTTTGTAGTGTGCATTTGACTAACGTTGTTCTCTCAGATATGACCTACATCATTTTTCATTTGTTTCATGCATGCTGAAACAGTATTGCCAGCGACGTAGTGTGCTATTTAGATCTCTACTAAACCATTGTATTTCACCTTTATTTTACTCTTGAAAATGTCTATTCACAATAAATTTGTTTTCTTGCATTCATTTCCTCAGTGCCTGCAATGTCAATTTCTCACTTTATCCTTGGCAAACACATTGCCTGAGATATATAAAGATTACAGTATGATATGTTTTTAACGAATATTTTAAATGTTCCTGTTCAAAGCTGTGTATTCAAAGAAGGCAAATAGCACAGCAGGTACTAATGGAAGCATTCCTGTCTTGAGCACATCTTAACCTTCTTCCAATGATTAAAAAACCCATGATTTTACTTAATTCTATCTCTGATGCTAGTAGCAAGAATACATGTAGAATGAAAAATGTAAGATATAGGTATAGACACAGGAAAGCCATTTTGCTTCTGAGTTTTGTTTGTGTGAAGTACTGCAGTGCATACTGATGGAGTGTATACAAGTCACTGTGTTTGACACCTTGAATTAAGTGCACATTACTCAAACAAAATATTCCCTCAAGCCTCTCAGGGGCCTTAGGTTTTTTGTATCTATTTCCTAATGGCCTGTATGACTGGCAAGGGACTTCATGATGCTTGCTTTCACCACATCAGTTCTGCACAGCCCAGGCACAGGCAGATGGGCAGCATGTAGGGCCAAACCCAAGCCCAGTTGCTTCCATGAGAAATGCAACAAGTGGTGCTCTCTAAGGCAGTCTGAAGAGTTATTTCACCAGCTCGCATGAGGTCCTGTCTCCATGGACATGATGTTCAGTTGCCTTCACCTTTCTAACACAGTCTGAAGTATTGGGACCAATTTCCTGCTCAAGCACTCCCTCTTGTTACCTGTACTAGTGACTCTTCTGATGCTTTTCTGAACTTGCTACCCACTCCATTGCTAGCTCTGTCTGCTTCCCATTTTGCTACCCAGTTCGTTATTCCCTGCAGCTGCTCCTGCAAGCTGAGAGTTGCTTGTTTCAGTACTACAGTGCACTTCTTAGAGGAGACAGATGACAGTAATTTAGCCCACGTCTGACTTTTGTTTTTGCTACAGTTTTTAGAAATGCTTGAATGTTGTTGGGAATTCTTGTAGTATTTCCTTAATCAGATACAAAGTTTTCTGTTAAAGTCTCTTGTAAATTTTACTGTGTTAGTCTGGAATAGATGACTGACAGATGCAGGGATTTTCTGGTAATTTTGTGAACAGTTTGAAGAAAAGTAGGACAGAACACGCTGTCTTTTGTTGGCTAAGCTGCTCAGTGATGAGATGAAAGATACAAGTTCAAATACATTTGTTGCTTGGTTTGGGGCAGGAGACTGAACCCACAGTCTCTTGGTAAGAGAGTCCTAAACTGCATCTCCCTTGGCCTCTGCTGTTGTAGCTGCTCTCAGTTAAAATATTCATTGAGCCTGGGACAAAGGGACCGGGAAGAAGGAGACAGCCTGGAGGTTGGAAGGATATATTCTTCAGAGAGGCTTTGTTAGTCGAGACTTGAATTTTAATTATTTATGCAAAATAGAATGGCATCAGCTGAAGAGACTTGGTGGACTCTTCAGGCTGTTTTGCAGCAGTGGGCAGTGTCTGGTCTTGGGAGTGGAATATGTGTGCTTGCTCATATCAGGCAGACGGGAATAAATTCAGTCTGAATTCCTTCACCCCATGTGAGTAACTACACTGTCTGGGTGTTCTATGAAAAAGGGGCAGCATACTGTCTATCACTGCCTCCTCCAGCAGTTTTGTGACATTAGCCTTTCACTTACCTGACTCTTTCCTCTGTGTCAGCTGCAGTGTCCTCACTTTTGCCTACTATGAAAAACATCATATATTGTTCTTAATTTTAGGCAGAAAAATATTTTAAATCGCAAAAAGCTGTAATTCCCACCTGTCGTGGTTTCTGGATTTTTTGTTGTTGTTTGTTTTGTTTTGCTTTGCTTTGCTTTAGACACATGTAGTGTCTAAAGTGTAGTGTTCCCATGATAGTGGAAAGAGTTTAAGGAAGCTGCTGTATAGAGATAGGGTCAGGAAAGCCAAAGCCTGGCTTGATCTGAACTTGGCTAGGGATGCCAAGAACAAGAAAGGCTTCTACAGGTACCTCAACCAGAAAAGTCCTGGAGGGTGTACCCCAGGCAGGATGGTAGCAACAGACAGAAGTGATATGGGAGAACCATTATGGCTTCACCAAGAGCAAATTCTGCTGAAGCAACTTAGTGCCACTGCATCAATGGACAAGGGAAGAGCCACTGATGTCATCTATCTCGAGTTCAGTAAGGCCTTTGATCCGTATCCCATAACATCCTTCTCTCCAGATTGGAAAGATATGGATTTGATGGGTGGACTGTTTGATGGATGAAGAACTGGCTGCAGGATCAAGTCCAGAGAGTGATGGTCAGTGGCTCAGTGTCTGGATGGAGATCAGTGACAAGTGATTTCCCTCAGGGATTGGTACTGGGGCTGATACTTTTTAATATATTTATCAATGGCATCAACAGTGGGGTTGAGTGCACTCTCAGCAAGTTTGCTTATGAAAACACCCTACCAAGCTATAGAGTGCAGTCAACACACCAGAGGGGATGTCATGCAGAGGTACCTACACAGGCTTAAGCAGTGGTCCCAGGTGATCCTCATGACTTTCAACAAATCCAGGTGCAAGGTCTTGCATCTGGGTCAAGGCAACCCCTGTTACCATTAGAAGCTAGAGGATGAAAGAACTGAGCACAGCCCTGCCAAAAAAGACCTGGAGGTACTGGTGGATGTGAAGCTGAACATAAGCCAGTAATGTGCCCTCGCAGCCCAGAAAGCCAACTGTATTCTGGTCTACATCAAAAATGCATGGCAAGCAGGGCGAGTGAGGTGATCCTGCCCCTCTACTCTGCTCTGGTGAGACATCACCTGGAGTACTGCATACAGAAGTGGAATCCTCAGTGCAGGAGAGGCATGGACCTGTTGGAGTGCATCCAGAGAAGGGCCACAAAAATTATCCATGGGATGGAACACCTCTCCTATGAGGACAGGCTGAGAGAGCTGGGGCTGTTCAGCCTGGGGAAGAGAAGGCTGTGAGGTGACTTGAGAGCACCTCAGTATCTAAAGGGGAGCTACAAGAAAGAACGGGACAGACTTCAGCAGGGTCTGTTGTGACAGAACAAGGGGAGATGGTTTCAAGCTCAAAGAGTGTAGATTTAGGTTGGATATAAGGAAAAAATCTTTTACAGTGAGAGTGATAAGGCACTGGAACTTTTTGCCTAATGATGTGATTGATGCCATGTCCTTGGAGACTTTCAAGGCGAGGCTGGATGAGGCCCTGGGCAACCTGATCTAGCTGTGGTGTCCCTGTTCACTGCAGGGGAGTTGGACTAGATGGCCTTCAGTGATCCCTTCCAAGTCTAAGAATTCTATGATTCTCTTTATGATGCAATGAAATATTGCTGCCACAGTCTCCCCTTTGTCACTGAGTTGGGCATACTCCTCTACCTTGTCTTCAGTGCACTGAGATATTTTCTGTGTCTGGGAGTTATCCTTCAAAGAATGGAGCCCACTGTTGTTTTGATTACCAAACTCTGCTCTGGCCAAAAAAAATCAAGATTGTTGTACTCAGAATGTTTTCATATCTGGAAGTGTTTTTATTCCATTATTCAAGTAACTGTAAAAATGTTACAAGAAGATATTAAAAACATCAAAGAAGTATTACAAGCTAAGGAAATTTAGAATTAAAACAAACCATGGAAAGGCTGCTGAACCAGATGGGGTTGAAAGAGCATTGTTTGGGATCCTAACTAGAGAAAGTCCAACTACAGGACTGACAGGAGCACAGCACAGTTCCTTCCTGGCACAATTCTCTCTATTTTCTTCCAAAGGAAGCCAGGGCTTGCTGAGATACAATAATCACCTCGTTCTTACAGTTTCATAGAAGACTCTTGGCTAAGGGTGCGCAAATAGGGAACAAGTTCAGGGATTTATGTGCCCCGTTGGGTGCAGATGCTGCTTGTGAGAAGTACTGTAAGAGGAACAATGCAAGGGTAAGAGAGCGGGATTCTGTGAGCGAACATAATCGTTTAGAAATTTCTGTTTTCTTCTTAGGATTTACATTTCCAGAAGCTAATCACAGAATCAGTATTTGCTGTGTTCCTTAAACACGCAATTAGCGGGATTGTGTGCACACCAGCGATGCTGGCACATACCAAGTGGATGAGTGCAGCTGCCTGTACATGTTCAGGAAGCACTGCCACTAATGTGCAGGAGATGTACCATTTCTGGTAGATTTTTAAATCTGAAAGAAAGTACTGGGAAAGGATCTATTGCTATAGATCTGCTGTCGACAGTCTGCACTGCTTAAATTAGCTGTGTGCCTCCCTTGCAGCTGAGATTTGTGCTAGTGGTTCACATTGTTCTGTTTCATTTTCCAGATGCATTGCAAGCTCATTAATGATTCTGAAACTTGACTTCATGCAGAATTTCCCTCTTGCTCCAAAGCTGAGTGATATTGAATGCATTCATTTTAATGTCAAAAAAGTGCATTTGAAACTGATTTTTAAAAAAAGAAAAAGAAAAAGGAAAAAAACCCTCTTCCTCAAAGATTACTTCAGGCAAAATCTTGCCTTAGAAGTTGTCATATGTCACAAAAATTGTGAAACTACTGATCCACATTCTCTCCCAAATCGTATTTACTGTTACAAAGACAGGAGATTTCAGCAAAAGAATTAGAAGTGGGAGAATGTCTT